TGTGCTCACACGCTTACCATCAAAGCGATCAGTCATCTAAAACTCCAAACACTTCCGTTCAAACTTCCGTGATTGTCAGAGATCTTCAAAGAACTTAAAGTCTTGCAAACTCAAGACTTTTTCAGCAGAACAGCTCAAGCCTCTGCGTCATCAAGGAACCAACCCATCGCCGGAAGGGTTTCCCCAAAGGGACACCATCTTGACGTCACCTCAGTAACCAATCAGCAACGGAATTCCCTCAAGCAGCCAAACCAGGAAACTCAGCTTTTTAGCTGTCACCCAAAACGCAAGTAAACTAACAAAATCGTATCTCTGCTGAACTGGTGCCGAGCTAATTTAAGCAGTAAACATAAGACAAACCTCTGCTTTGTGATTTTCTCAGATCACAAGTAAGAGAACTGTAGCGAATATCTTGCTAAAACGTTGGGCTTTCCTCAGAACTCCGTTAACATCATTTTCATTCTTCAGAGACTGTATGTATGTGTGTGTGTATGTGTATGTCTTAGCTTAGGTCAATGTAATTTAGAATAGCCAATACATTTTTGTTTTCATTTATAAAGAATCATTGTCTGGTGTCGTATAATTTTAAAGTCAAACCTTGCCAAAGATCCTTGTTACCTAGCTCGTAGCTTATAACTTATCAAAACATGTATTAACCCGTGGCCAGGGAGAATACAGATATTCAAATTGTTAATATACACGGATGCTAACGTCTTGCTGGACGAACGGTAGATAAGGTGTAAATTATCAAATTTGGAATCAGTTCTAATCAGGTTGACTTCGAATCTTCAGATCCGAGTCCTCTCAAAACCTGAATGAAATAATAATAATGAATTCCCTTACAAATGAGTTAATTTCATTACATACATTTGAAAATCTTTTTTTCCAGATGTATGGTGCTGTAGTTTTGTATTTACAAATTTGGAAATTAAATGAGTTCCTTGACAATGCACTTATTTTAACACTCATTGCAACAGAAATGACCCGGAATTAAAACCTTAATATGATTTGGTGATTTTCTGCCACAATTCTCACAAAAGTGTGGCCCTGTCCCAAATGTGCACTTCTGGTCTTGCGAACATACAGTGGCCGACAAGTGCCTGTGAAGTCCACAAGACACAATTGTCACTTCAGGATTCAGAAGGATTCTCACAAGTGCTCTTCTTTGTGGCCGTTATGTACCATTGCTAGCTGCATTTCCACAACAGACTACGACCCCACAGTCAAAGCAGCATTACATCACTAAAGTGTGAACGTGGACCACCACAATAAACACAAACCACAAGGGATTAGGGCACTTTTTAGGACAGGGCCTATGACCTCTGATCCCTAAGCATATGCATCAGACTGTGCAGCTTTATTTATATTCAGGATGTGTATTCTGTTTACCTCTGTATGATGGATTTAGTGCTTTTTCTTTTTGTTTACTGGAAATAGTGTAAAAATAATAAATGTGAAATAATAAATATAGTTAAAATAATATTAACGTAATATTGTTACGTAATGTGCTTGAACTTTGTCTTGTACCTCAGGTTTGAAATGCCTGCAGCATGGCGTGTGCACAGCAATCTCCTACTGAGTACCTCAGAAACGCCAGGAAAAACCTGGTTACTCGTATGAAAAACCTTCCTGTGATCATTGAGAATCTTTATCAGAAGAATGTTTTCAATGACTATGAGATCGATACTCTCAAAGCCGAGAAGACAGAGTTTGATAAAGCCAGATGTATATTGGATTGGGTCATTAACAAAGGTGAAATCGCCAGTTATGAATTACTCAGGATTCTGGATGTCACTCAGAAGAGGACATTACCTTCAGATTTACGCTACTGGATCAGCTGTTTTCCCTTCAGATGGGAAGATACAGAGGCCAGTTATTCATTTGGTGAGTAGAAAAATTAAAGAATATTTTGCTGAAATTAACACATTTCCAACACAATTTTGTTATGCTTTTGTTGCTATTTTAGGTACAAAGCCCTGTCAAATCTACCAGACACAGCTCAAGATGAAAGCAAAAAACATCCTGAAGAACCAAAGGGAACGTTTCTGTAAATATCTGGATGACAAGGCACAAGTAAACTTCAGTTTCATATCGCTGGTTTTAGAGACTGGCTCTGTCATGAAAACGCAATGCAAAATAAAATTGAAAAACAAAAAATGCAAAAAACTACGACCCAAAAAATTGAGAGCTTACATACCTAATGAGGAACAAGCACTGTCACCTGAGGATCTCCTGAAATGGCAGGACCAGAACATCCTCATCATAGGCAAACCTGGAGTAGGAAAGACTACAGTTGTCCAGGAAATGTTGCGTTGTTGGGCAGAGAAGGATAACAGAGAGCTGGACTACCAGTTTTACTTTGATGAACGTGTTTTGCCCCACAGTTCTAGCATTGCCAGTTTGCAGTCTGTTTTGTTTGATGTGTATTTAAAACCAATGGAAAAAGACAGAATGGAAGTGTTTAAAGATATTGAGGAAAACTCTGATAATGTTGTCATTGTGTTTGATGGTGTGACGGATTTGGAAGAAAATTCCATCTTATGGAAGATCATGAACCACGAGCTCCTGCCTGATGCCAAGATTGTGATAACATGCAGATCAGAGGTGGAGGATGATCCCGTTTTCTCCATTTGGCCGACACGGAAAGTGTATGTCCAAGGATTCAGTGAAGAGTCTATCAACACTTACTACCAGAGTATGTTGGGTCATGATCCTGTTCTTCTAGATGTTATTTTGAAGAATCAAGAGCTGTTCAGTCTTAGTCATGTTCCATTGTATGCATTCATGATTGTAGACTTGATTCAGTTTAAAAATGACACTGTATGCAACCATTCACACACAGTCACTGAAATGTACATCCATATTTTCCGTCTTGCTGTGAAGAAACATGGGAATAAAAAAAATAAGCAAATAGATAAGTACCTGAAAGAGATGAAAGGTCAGGTTTATCGCTTGATGGAAAATGCTTTCAATGCAACTATGCAGAAGTGCCTAAACCTTCCAGATATTAGCAGTGATGAGACAGACGTTTGTCATGCTTTCGCTATGATTGGTTCTGAGCAGATTGTGCTCATCTCAGTGATGCTATTTACTTTCATGCATGCTCAAAAGTCAGCCTCTCTCCCTCTCATCTTGTACCGTGTGAACATAGGCAGGACAGCGGGTTATGGTTATAGGGGTGCTTTGTGTGTCTCTTGTTGCATTTAGGGTAGGAACAAATATGCTGTGTACCCTGTAGAAATAAATTAGCATTAGCAAAGTTGTTTGTTGTAAACCTAATGGAAATTATTTTCAGTTACTAAATGTTTTAACAACCACAATACACTATTACTTGTGATTCAAGTTTTGTGTTTTTTTTTTCACAAAACAACATTTGCAGTAAGCTATATGTTGAGATGTTTCATCCGTCCATTGATCTGTTGTTCGCTACTGTAATGCAGAAGAACATTACTTGCTCACACTTTTAATAAGCGGGATAATTCCCAAATTTAAATAAACCATTTACGAGTTTAGAATATTTGCAATGTAAGAATGTACAGGGAAACCTAATATATAAAAACACTGACTCAATAGGTAATGTTTTCTTATTAAAATCAGATTTTGATTTTGGAGATCAGATTTCAGATTTTGGGAATACCAATATGGCAGCACAGTGGCTTCCCTTACGACGTCATGAGCAATCTAGTCATGTGACTGAAGCAAGACACATTATGGCAACAATATAAATACATTTATAATAATAAGAGTTTTAGAGTTTTCTGAGAATTTTTCTGATTTGGTTTTATTTACACATTTATTATATATATATATATATATATATATATATATATATATATATATAT